GTGTACTTGGGATCCTGGGCCAATATTGGAGATTTGATGATGATGGATACTGTCACAGCTCCCAGTTGTTGCAAGGCTGACTTCAACACCAGTGCTTTCTGCCAACATGGAGACATCAGTGTATGTTAATGTGTTTTGAATCCAATTTGTCTGTTAAAGCAAAGCCTGATGGTTCTTTGCTGCTTTATCCTTTGAAGTATTATCAATCTTGATGGTGTATGGGAGAGCCAGCTCCCAAGGTGGATTTTGAAAATATAGTAATTTTTCTATTTCAAATACATCTGTTATCTCTGAAATTGAATTCATTTTAGCTGGGTTGTCTTTAGATATTCCTTTTCTCTATTTTCTTCAATATTTACAGGATGAGTTCTGGACAATTTGAGCAATCTGAGTGCATACATGCACAATTGCTGGCTTAAACTTATTTTTGTTGGCATCAAGGCTGCTTCTACTTCCATGACAAGTATAGGAGCACTCTTAGATACCACCTGTGTTTTCCTGAGTGCCATATTCTAGATCTTCTGAAGTGATAATGCAATGAATACTTGTCCTTACCACCAGATAATGGAGCTATAGTCAGAAATACTGGCATAATCTTCGGAATTACGGGTTCCCGAGGTAATCAGATCCTCAACCAATTAAATTTCTTATGTACTGGATTCTAGGGATTGAATATCGATAACTTATATTGTTAAAGGATTAACCAGTTTACATTAGGGAGTATTAAATATAGTTCTGTGTGGTCTGTGCAGTAGGTACCTGGGCTCATGATAGACACCTGCCTTGGATCGATACCGGTATCCAGGCTATCTAGAATCTGCTTTGGAAACCAGCATAGATGATATACCACCGCACCACCTAGCCCTAAATTGTTAAGGGTGCCGCCTTGTGTCTCGAAAAGCCACTCGCAATGCATCAAGTGCTCTGCAACATGAAAAACACCCGGCAGACTCTGAGAGAGAGTGTGTGTTTTATTGTACTACTTGAGTCTATGACTATCTAGCATATTTGGTTCCTCTCTGACCCAGGCCACACCTTGTACAGTGCTCCTTGCCTCTCATTTTACTCAAAAGATCATTGATGTATTGCCCGTGATGAATAGCCATTCAGCTCAATATTTACCCGTGGCATTCGGCCACCTTTTCCACGGAACCTTCTACCCAAAAAAATTAAAAAATTGGTAGCAATGGCAACTGCGTGCGCGGGAAAAAGTCTCAAAAAACCTGCAGCCCCAGCCAGGCGAGGCCTAGACACCGGGACCACATGAGACGCGCATATTCATCTATGTCTCCCTTCTTTGTAACAGTCGAGGTCGACTTGATCCAATTCACCATCTCTGTATCGGGTGCTGAGTACGCCCCGGAAACTCATCGGATGGCTTTTCTTCTATGATCAAGGGTTGGTGATGAGAAGGGCTCCGACGCTACAATTTGATCTGATCGTGGTTAGCTTCATGATAGTGGTGATAGGGGGATGTGTTGAGAGACGAATACGATACAGACCGCGAAAGCGATTTGGAATCCTCGTCGAAGTGAGGAATTTGTTACTCAATCCCGGCTCTGCAGACTCTACAGTGGGATCTGGAGGTTCGTAGGGGACACCACTGACAGGTGTTGAGAATAGTCCCCCAGACTCTGAGAGTCATACTGCCACATTTTTTAGGAAGAATAGTCAGTACAGCCTGCTCGGAAGATTAAAATCTAAACAACTTTTTTTTTGAAGAATTAGAGATTAATTAGGTGCATTCATGATCTGAGACTCTAATTTGAAATCATAGTCATCCGTACGCTGGTAATATCAACCGTGATGGAAGCCATAGACCGAAAACCTGCACGTGGTGTCTTCTACGAACCTATGAGTGAGATATTATGCCAGAGCCAAGTTTATTCAAAATCCGCATTACCAGAGAAGCTTGCCCACGAGGCCATGAATCACTAATCCTAACCAATTTAATCTCTTCCACCCAACGAGATCGATCCTCAACAATCCCCTATCAAGTTTACGGGCATAACTTAGTATTGCGATTATGAGGAGGAGAATTGCATACAAACAGTGGCTTTATCAATATGTGCTTGACACTATTATGAAGTGGACGATGATATGTGTTCGCTTTATAAGATTCGTTTCCTGATGATTGCTATCTATATGAAGGAGAATACTCCTATTTATACCTAAAGCTCATCTATCTAACTCCCAGTAGAATATTACATCTTGTGATGTAAGATATTCTATCAGATGTTATAGCATAGTTTACATTCTTGTTCAAACCATCCACATGCAGCTGTTATGATGTCACTACACCAACCACATCTTGTATAGATCTCTATATCATCTAATACGGCTTGTCTAATTGGCTGAGTGATTCCACATAATAACACGTAGTAAATCCTCATTCCAATGACCATACCTCTCGTCGAATTTCTCTGACCTCGGCTAGTCGCCTAAAACGCGCCCACGCCGATATTTACACTCGATGGAGAAAGCAAAGCGTGGCCCACAAATCTGGGAGACAGTTGTTTGGGATGGACGTGAGAGGTATCAGGACAAGTTCCCAAGACGATGCAGAGGAAAGATACAATCTCGACGCTTGTTAAATTTTGAATTTTGAATTTTGGCAAGGAGCTTTTACAAACTGAGCTTTGTGCGTACCAAGGCTTCGGTTGCGAGAGTGCAGGCGACGCTATAAACACCGCTATGGCTGGATGGTACATCATCTGGGCCGGTTTTCCATGTAAGATCTGGATAGCTTGGACACATATCCCACTCGAGACAGTAGATGGCTGGTCCAAATCCGGAAAATGACAACCACATCTCTCGCGGCGCTGGTATACATGGATGACGAAGGCATGCTTGGACGATCAAAGGGTTTGGATTTCTCTTTTGTGGGTATTCTCGAAGGATGGTCGACTGTTTGATGAAGCAAACATCCATCATAATGGTATTTGCGAATAAAATCCAGAGTATGAGTGTCTCTAACGTCAAAAGAGTCATCCAACATTTATAAATAACACTCATCATTTGAATCACGAGAAGAGGAAGTAGCAGGAAGGCAGCTTTAAGGTAGAGGTGGAAGAAGTAGATTGGCTTTGAGGGAGTGTCTAGGAACAGGCAGAGACTATATGTTGACGTGCACGTACCACATGTACGCACGTCATCTTACCTAGGGCCAGGTTGGGATGAGGCCGTAACTATGTGTTAACGCTGTATTGCTTCATATAAATTAAATGAGTAAAAAAATAAGCTCTGTCTTTTTTGATTGCAATTGGAATGTAGGTAAGGGCTGAAGGTTTGTGGGAAATTTTGAAGGGTTTTGCAGGCTCAAATGATTTGGATATCGTTATTCCTATGGCATACATTAGTAGATTACGGATAGATGGACTGGAGCGTATAACAAACTAGACTTTCCCATATAAGTCATTCAATGGCGTGCTTATGGCAATCGGTTAGATTGAATGCTGCAAGAGCGTATTAGACATCAACACTCTATCTCTAGGTAGAGATGATGAGTGTTCTAAACATCAAATTAAGTTATCTTCGTTTAAAGTCGCCGGACTATGACAAGCCTTTTCCATGCCATGCTCTATACTTGCTAGGGTTCTGCCCGTCACAAGTAAAAATGAAGCTGTTTAGGCAAAGACTACCTACATGCTCAGCATATTTTTGGATCGAGTAAATTCAGTGAATCATATGTTTGTAATTCGCAGTCTTTGATACCTGTTTGGTTATAGATCACCCTTGTATAAGTGCGTGTGTATGATTAAATGTAATGTCCTATTGGGTTTCGACTATATACCAATGGGTAGGTCCTTTATACCCACAGTCCGGATGTATATATACCTCGGGCAGTGTAGCCACTACTGTGCCTCCTCTTGACATCGAGAGCAAATCCGAAGACATAGCTACCTTTGTGAAGCATTCGAAGAGGCCGATCGACTGTGCGTAGTGGAGCTGTGTGTACCTAAGAGTAAATCTCAGACAATGTAGACTGCTTCTTTAACTCGTGCTGCAGGGCAAATCGAAGGTCTCGATAGGATGATAAGAGTCTTATGCGAGGGTTATTGCCGTGAGGTAACTTAGACTAGCATCCAAAAGTTGCTGCGAATATGAAGTTTTCAAGTATGTTGTGTAATTTTAATGCCTACCCGGATGGAAGATTCAGAATTATGGTTTGAAGGGACGAATTTGTCAAAGAGAATCTACATTTCTTAAGATAGGAAGGAGTTTTACCTTGCTTTTGTGATAGTTTTGTTTGCACGCCGATGACTAGCAATTGATTTAATGTGACGAGGACCTCTCCAAATATTAGTTCAGCGTTTGGTGGCGCGATATCTTTCCTCATTCTCAGCATCATTCTCCTGATCCTCTTAATTTTTATCAAAAGCGTTTGTGTGGGGCAAGGCAAGTGATTCCAGCTTAAAATTGAAAGGATATTGTTTAAGCTAGGACCTACAGACTCTGTAGCAAGAAGTGGTGGTTCGATGTGGTACCGTTGGTGGATTTTTAATTTTCGTCTAACCACGTTTTCTTTGACGCCAGGACGATAGACTGATAATATTTTGATGAACATCAACCCCTGATAATTAAGAGAAGCCCTTGTGGAACACTATTCAGACCAATCGCAGGTCACGAGACAGCATGGGATTGATGCGGGGACGCACGTTGCTACGCCATTCCTCTTCATTCTCGAATCTTCTACAAGACTGTCGAATACTCTAGTTATTACTCAATCGCCGAGACTCGTCTAGTGGATTCTATGATGGGGCACGAATACACAAGAAGGTTCTGGTATTTCGTACTTCTAGACTATTCTATGGTCACATAGGTATGGCCGGAGGTAGTATATATGTTCTAGAAGATCTCATCAAGTCGTTATTATCTATCACAAACGTCCATTGCTCTCACGTATCATCTATTCTCATCTATCTCATAAAAGTACTTACTCATAAGAAATCATTGACTTCATCTCCCTACCTTCTCTCACAGACTCCCAGCTACAGACAATGTCTATATATTCACGACCACTTCACTCCAATGATCAGGCCTCCATCCCTCCGATTATTCGGCTATTAGGTGAATTTGATCGATACTCTCGCAACTCAGACCGAACCCCAGAAGAAGCAGATTATCACTCTCGCAACTCAGACCGGACTTCTCGACACATCAACTCATTTACTCCCAAATTTGACCTGAAAGAGGTCTCTGACGCATTTGAACTTTACGGAGAGTTACCGGGTGTAGACCAGAAAGATGTCGATATTGAGTTCACGGACGCCTCCACGCTTACTATCAAGGGTCGAGTTGAACGCAAATTTAGTGAGTCGTCCAGAGAGAATGCTCAGATTAGCAAGGAGAATACATCCAAAGCTCCACGGAAGGCAACTGTCGAAGATGAAGTTACAAACCAAGAGAACCCTGTGTCGATCACTAAAAGCAAAACAACAACTAACAACACTACGGAGAAGTTCTGGGTCATGGAACGAAGCATTGGAGATTTTTCAAGGTCATTTGTATTCCCAGTGCGTATTGAACAAGATACCGTAAGAGCATCAATGAAGAATGGGATATTGAGTGTTTTCGTACCAAAAGCCACGAAACAAGAAGGCCGCAAGATTATGATTCAGTAGTATACTCATGAAATTTTCTGGTTGAAGTTTAGCTAGGCATATCGACTGAGGATGAATTACAGGCGTTTATTGGATTATTTTCAAAGTAGAGGTTATATCATAAAGTTCGGAGTTAAATTAATACAATGCAAAAATTCAAAAATATCAAGCTTGTTCCGTTAATCTCGGTGTAGCCATCGTTCATGTCTCAGTGACAATTTGTAAAAAACCTTATTAAATTCTGCAAGGGTGTCAACCTTGCCGACATTATTCACCCAATAGAGCTCAACGCAAAATAAAAATAGCCCATCTGGATTTTTCTACAGCTTAAAATTGCGGTAGAAGATCCTTTTATTTGCATCAGATTTTGATTGCGTATGCAGCTATCTGCCTATCACACAATATCAAAGAAAAGCACAGAGCATATGGTTCAACATAAGGGAAGAGCACGCATGCCTCAGATTTCATTTGCAAGTACCACTGCGAAGTTGTGGTGGCTTTTTCTTCAACCCAATTCAACCCTCGTCCGTGAATACCCACCCAGGGGAACGTCTCAAAAACCCGGGCTGCTAAGCACCTCTCTCCTCCCCTACTGTACTCTGATAGTTTACTTGTCATGTATCATTGATCGTTACATTATCTAGAGTAAAGAGGATTTCATGTATTTAGGGAGGAGTTAGAACGTTAATAGAAATACAAGTTTACACCTGGTCTCAAGCTCTTCACACATATAGATTGTCGTAGTCTGAGCCACAAGACATCCTTAAATTTCACAGTCAATATTTATCATTTCATTCTTACTAACGTGCACAAGAAGCCTCACAGGGTCCGGGTAGCATAGAGATATGTCCCACTTATGACAGGAGATTGATGGTCCGAGTCTGGCAAAAAGCATCTATGTTCTTCGCAGCGATGATGTACATGATTAACAAGGGCACGATTGGATAATAAAGGGTTTGGAAACGTCCATTTGGCGTGTACATACGGAGGAGGGTCGACTGTTTCTATAAGCAAGCGAATCTCAATGGTATCAGTGAATTGAACTCGGAATAGAATATGATTATATTTGAATCCCTACCGAGTCTATGACTGTGAAGGGCTTCGGGTAGCCATCTCAGATAATTTAATTTTCTTGTTGTCGGTTGGTAATATACACGTGTACGCGTACGCAATGGGTCTCTTGATGATGTGATGATTCTTGTTCTATTTCTTTAATACAGGCGTGTCAGCCTTAAGGGCGACACGCCAAGCTGCACCAATCCACGTGACTAATTAACTATCAACATATGGTGATCTCTCTCCCGACTCACATTTATACAAAAATAGTGTTGCGACACTTGTATTAAAATTTTCTTTATAACAGCCAATGTTCGCTCTAGATGTTGCCGGGACTCTAACGCGGGGATAAGTAGTCTTTCATAGTCTAGGATTTGAACTTGAATTTGAAATATTTAATATGACAGGACGAACCTAACATTTATTTAGACGTGACACGGGTAGATGGGCTCTGAGAGCTCATTGCTACCTACATGACCGGCATTAAAGCCAGAAGCGATAAGAGAAATAAGAAGGATCAATAAATGCCTGAGTTACAGTGCCCTTCGCTGCATCCTCATCTTCCAAATACATTTCCCTCCGAGCTGGAATCCGTCTCAGCGTGGTCACCTCCCACTCTGTTCATTCTTCGGCAGACTGGAACATCTGCTTGTAGTTAGGAATTGGAAAAATTTCTGCAATCCCTTCTCCCCAATCATCTCCTTGGCTCTAGGCGTGACTTTCATAGTCTAGGACTCAATACAGACTTAAATTTAAATCAATCAATCAGATGCGGGGCTTTTAGCGACGAAGCTTTGGGTTATGCTAACTCAGGAATCATACTACTAGACCATTAGACTGATTAAGTCCGGAAAACGAACGTTTGTTGGCAGTATACAAGGCCTAATTAAATTGAACTCTGACCCTTTGCTCTATGCAGCCAACCGGTTAAAGGACGCCATACACAAAATTTGGTTTAGATGACCATCTAGAGTGCAGACAAATTTGATCTAACCAATCAGCTGATAAATGACCATGGTTTCACTTTCTTGAACTCAAGAATTATGCAAGATTCAAGTATTGACAGTCGAACCGAGATGTGTACAAAATGTAAATGCTCATTCAGCGTAGGAATGATAGAGATAAAGAAAAATGTCATGATGCCTCTGACCACATGGAGTTCGCTCCTGTGCAACCGTACTACGGCTAGCATTTTTTTATAGTAAAGCATATAGAGTGAACATGAAGTACGATGTCGTGCATGTTAGCATTCATGCCTGGTGAATTGGGTCTAATTATACTCTTTGTTGGATCTAGCGCTCTTGAAAAGGTTATGGCATGTAACTGGATTAGAACTGACGTTAATAATGATATCTTTTCATCTGAAAATTTCCTCCAAGTGTTAGTTTTGGAAAAGCCAGCATGTCCCTAGGGACTTGTAGAAGTATGTCGACAATGATGCGTGACTCCTTGCAACCACCGCATTGATGCATTCGCTGATGTGACTCGGAGTGAAGGTCTAGGTTTTGATTCATTCTAAGAACGTGTAAACCATATCCTGTCGACGGTTGCCACCCAACCAACTACCATTCTCTGGGGAAATATTCTCAACACCTGTTAGTGGTATCCCCTATGAACCTCCAGCTCGCACTATAGAGTCTGCAGAGCCTAGTTTGAACAATACTGTTCAAGCTTCGATGAGGGTTCCCAATCGCTTTCGCGGTCTGTATCGTATTCGTCTCTCAACACATCCCCTATCACCACTATCATGAAGCTAATCACGATCAGATCAAATTGTAGCGTCGGAGCCCTTCTCATCACCAACTCTTGATCATGGAGGAAAAGCCATCCGATGAGTTTCCGAAGCGTACCCAGCACCCGATACGGAGATGGCGGATTAGATCAAGTCGACCTCGACTGTTACAAAGAAGGGAGACATAGATGAATATGCGCGTCTCATGTGGTCCCGGTGTCTAGGCCTCGCCTGGCTGGGGCTGCAGGGTTTTTGAGACTTTTTCCCGCGCACGCAGTTGCCATTGCTACCAATTTTTTAATTTTTTTGGGTAGAAGGTTCCGTGGAAAAGGTGGCCGAATTCCACGGGTAAACACTGAGCTGAATGGATATTCATCAAGGGGAATATATCAATGATCTTTCAAGTAACAAAAGAGGATAAGAGCACTGTACAAGGTGTGGCCTAGGTCAGAGAAGAGCCCAATTTGATACATAGTCTATGTCTCAAGTATTACGATAAACACACCCCCATCTTTCTTTACCTGCAGTAATGCCCTCACAAGCCCTCACTCGATCATACATTTAGAGGAGCCCTTTACCCTTCATTATCTCCCATCTCCAGCCAACAAAAAGATGGCCATTTACGGGTGTATGGCAGCCGGGAAAAATCACAAAAGCCACTAGGTGCGGAGCTCTCCTAGTACCGAAATTAGGACTGAATCCAAAGACATAGCGATCCTTCTGAAGCGTTCGAAGAGGCCGGTCAGCTGGGCGCTGCAGACTTGTGGGTACCTCGGGAAATTCTCACTCTGCCTTTCTAGCCTCCTTCCAACTCCATCCCGGAGGTTGTGCTGAAATGTTAGAAAAGTGTTGACAGAGCGTGATTGCTGTATGGTAGCTTAGCCCAACTTCTTTTGTGCCGTCCAGGGCGCTGGGGGGTGCCTTTGACTCATCGACAAAAGAAGCCCTCCTGGCTAGTTAGCCGAAATCTTAGTCTTGGCGTCCACGAAAATATCCAAAGATGAAAACCCTTCGAAAATTTCAGTCCAGGCATAGTCTTCAAAGACCTGTTCCCCTCTCACTCCACATATCAGCCGCCTGTTATCCCTCAAGTTGTTTGTCCCATTAGAGCAAACAGTCCCCCACAAGCCAAGACTCAGGCTTTGTATTTTTCGACTTGATTTCCTCTTTGTAGGTATAAATAGAATCGTAAATATGTAATGGGAGATGGCTGGAAACTAATGGGGCAAGCTCTTGTTTGCAATTGGAGCAACTTTTTTATTGGTCGTCGAGGCGAAATGATGCGTGGTTAGAGATGGGTTGAGGACTTAGATGAGTATGATAAGAGAGGCATTGTCGAAAAGTCGTCAAATGGAGATATGTTTGAGATTGCTTTTGACTTCGATTCGGATGCGATTCTTCTTGGCTATCCCAGATATGCATCGAATACTGAGCTATTACGCTGGCACTACTGGATGGTGAAGAATTCGTCTTTGCCGGCTAATTACATAATAGCGTGTAGCGTTGCACCTATACATTTACACCTATTCTAGGAATACCACTGATAGATTCAATTAGAAATACAAAACCATCCATCCATAACACAAGGCTTAAAGTTGAGGCAGAGTTTACGACCTATACACTCCTTCTTTTGGATTCCTAGGGCAGGTAAAATTAATGTCTGAATGTGAGGATTATTGGCACTGCCAGCATCGGGTTACATGCAAAGATACGTGGCTGTAGAGTCACATGGACCATGCAAAGTATTTCAATTAGTGTGGCCTGTAGGTACGAGGGAGAAGAGCACAACACGAGATGTCGAGAGTAATCCATACTTTGCAACAGATATGACATACCTATGATACCAACAGTTATGAATGAGCTTTTCCGAACTAAAAAGCACAATATACTCCGGTATCCCAAAACAATGATGCTAAGACTAGGAATGACGCCTGGGGTGGTAATAAATTTATTTTTCCAACTTAGCCCCTGAACAAAACTCGTACAATCCGGCAAGTGTCAGCCCAATAACTTTCCTTTTATGCCGTCTCCCACTTCTGTGCCATTATCTATCTTCACTCCATTCATTAAAGAACGAAATCCCGGGTACTACTTCCAATTGCACGCGATGATACAATGTCCCAATTGATTTTTTTCCACCATTGCGCCGTAAATTCCTCTTTGCCGGGTTGGAAACCATAGTCAGGAAGATAGACATGTGGCCAAGTGTTTACACAAAGTACAGGAGTAAGTATAGTGCCCCCAGGAGGACGCTTAGGGTCATCTATTTGGGAGCCAAATTTTCCCACTGAGTTGGCAGGTGGCCCAGCCACCATTTTCTTCATGTGCTCCGAAAAGTTCTTGGGTGATTCAGCGCTCTGGATGTTGTAGTCGACAGACTGTTTCCTAAAGTGCGCCTCAGGGTATGGACTGCCTGCTAGGTAGGTAGCTAGGATGGAATAGTTGTTCTCGAAATCCTTCACAAGCCAGACAAATCCCGGACCAAACATGGCATTTGCAGTTTTAAGCATATCTAGCCTCAAAGTCTCGAAGCTCCCAAAGCTCTTCGTGATCTGTGCCCGAAATTTTTCCGGCGTGTTTTCAGGGTTGGTATCGTTACATGTGAGAGATTCAAAGAAGAAGTGGTTATTGTGAGCAGCAGAGGCATAGTTGAATGTTGCTGCATTTTCGGGATCTCGCGCAAAATTATTGGCAATTTCTTTAGGACTCTTATTGGCCCATATTGTGTCTAGCAGAGGTTAGTAGGAATTTACCAGCTCTCCTCGGCATTGTCGACGCGTTACTTGTATTCAGATTGCTGGCTAGGCTAATTAGGCTTTATTTTGCTGGAGACGTACCGTTAACTAATCTGTTTAGATTTTTCAGGAGCATTGACTGGTACTGCACCCATGCTATTTCGAATGCTGGTTCGGTGAGGAGGCCTGGGATACCTCTAGTCTTTTCAAAGTGCGGGAGCGGTGGGACGTAGAAGATTGACCTTGAGAAATTTCGGGGTAGTACTGGTCGTGCAAAGAAACGTCTCCGTAACATTTTGTTTATTGTATAATGCAGTGTATTTTTATCCTGCGACTTGATTCTGCGCTCGTGTCACGTGATCAATCCTTACATCATCCGTTGCATTACAACTTTTAGTCATTTGATCGAGACGATATTGGAAAGAACCAGGTAATCATTTCATTTGATTAGATTTAAGCTATATCAGCCAAAGACTAATCCTGTCCCTTTCATCTATGCTAGAACAAACACCTAGCATTTTCGCAAATCTTCGATTGTGAAAAGGAGTCGTAGCCCCCCCTTTCTAATTCCCCATCCATCTACGCGAGTGCCTACCGGCTCCATAATCATCATCACTTTAATAAAGACCTCCCATGACTATCTCAGAAGCAGAGCGAGAAGCTCAACTAATCAAATATTACTAGGTAGCGGCAATATTGCTTATAACAAGCTGATGGTATAGGTCGTCAGGTGCTTTTTGGGCCTTTCAGAGGTGGTAGGTCAAACTCTTACATGGTTTGTTAGATGTCATTGCGGCTGCTCGTCGAAAATAAGTACGGCAGAGATGACCCAAATTTTCTTGACGATGGTTTTTTAACGGCCTGTGACCTTATGGTCGGAGGGCAAGAATGAGTAGCTGTACGCGGTGTCCCCTACCAACCTGGGAGTGATATATTCTCTCAGATTTCGGAGGCTTGGTAGTTTAGTAGAAACTTTAAAATTAGCCGCGATTCCTTTGACTAGCGAGCATTACGCCACGTTTTAGATTTTCCGAATCTACTTAATGGAAGTCTATTAGTGACGGGCACAAGCCCTGCACTCAAAGAGCTTGACACGGAGAAGGCTAGTCCTTACCCGACGACTATATACGACAATAACTCAGTTTGACATTTGGACTACTCATGTAGTAGGTGCATTCGCTGATACCACTCGAGACCTTGGTGCTAGGGAATTTCACCCTTCCCTCAACCGTTAATATCCATCAAAGGGAAAATAGGAAAAACCTTTGGTTACCCTAACATGCATTTATCATCTTGTGTATAGCCACCGCGCTAGATATGGCCTCACAGTCCTCCCTTTCTCGAGTGAGGTAGGTGTCATGGCTACCAAGACTTTAATTCGGGGAGATGACGACCAGGAGGCGGACCAAAACACCTTCCATCATTGCCTGTTTTTAGAGTGTCGGTAGCACTATCCTAAATCGTTGTCTCGGTGCCCACAGACACCCTTATGTCGGTAATACTCCAAAAATGTGCGTCCCAGCATGCAAATTTGTGACCTCTTCACTCGTTCGTCCCACGTCCCACGTCCCAGCTGCCTGCCCTCCTTCAAGATGTGAAGCCCCATTAGAGCAACGGTCCACCATAGATCAAGAACCGAGCTTTGTATATTATGACTTAGTTTCCTCCTCGCGAGTATACATAGCATCGTAAATGTATGGTGGGAGATGGCCGATTTTTGATGAGGCAAATTTCCGATTGATATTGGAGTAACGCCATTATCAGTATTTGAGGCGAGGTGGTAAAGTAGGATTCTTGGGAAGGAGACACCAAAGACCATATTTTGAGCGGAGAAAAGTTAATGGATGACGGAGGCATGTCTGGATAACTCAGGGTTTTTGAGACGTTCCCTCGGGTGGGTATTCGCAGATGAGGGTTGACTTGGGGTGAAGAAAAAGCCACCATAACTTCGCAGTGGTACTTGCAAATGAAATCCGAGGCATGAGTGCTCTTCTTGTAAACTGAGTCATCTATTATACACTTCTCTGGTATTGTGTCATAGCTAGATAGCTGCATACGCAATTAAAATCTGATGCAAAAAAAAGGTGTGGTAAGATTGAGCGGGAGGACTCGCGTAAGAATGATAGATCCGAAATTGATGAGAAATCGTCGACTTTAGACATGCTTGAGCTTGCTTTCGACTTCGATTCGGATGCGATTCTTCTTGGATATCCCAGATATGCAGAGCATACTGAGCGATTACACCGGGTCCACTTGAAGGTGAAGAATTCGTCTTTGCCGGCTCCGAATCTACTTAAGTAATTGATAGTACAAAGCTAATTAGACTGTTTAAGGACCTGTTTTTTGCCTTATTCGACTATTAGCTGTATCCGAAATCGCTCGAGCTTATAAAAAATCATATCTAAATCTGCACACAAAATTTAGATTACAGAAAATTTGAACCTTTATCATTTAGTATAATAATTAGTGGCTCGATTATTATTAATTCATTTTATTGTCCTGTCTGAGTCTATGACTATGTAGGACATGCAGGTTCTCTCTGCCTAGAGGCCAAGGATACCTATACCAGTAGTATATTCCCTCCTTTGCCTCCCATACAGCTCCCCTCAAACAGTGCCACATCTCACAAGTCCTCATTCGATCATACATTTAGAGGAGCCCTTTACCCTTCATTATCTCCCATCTCCTGCCAACAAAAAGATGGCCATTTGCGGGTGTATGGCAGCCGGGAAAAATCGCAAAAACCACTGGGTGCGGACTCTTCTAGTACCGACATTAGGACTAAATCCAAAGACATAGTGATCCTTCTGAAGCGTTCGAAGAGGCCGGGTAGCTGAGCGCTGCAGATTTGTGGGTACCTCGGGAAATTCTCACTCTGCCTTTCTAGCCTCCTTCCAACTCCTTCCCGAAGGTTATGCTGAAATGTCAGAAAAGTCTTGACAGAGCGTGATTGCTGTATGGTAGCTTAGCCCAACTTCTTTTGTGCAGTCCAGGGCGCTGGGGGGTGCCTTTGACTCATCGACAAAAGAAGCCCTCCTGGCTAGTTAGCCGAAATCTTGGTCTTGGCGCTCACAAAAATATCCAAAGATGAAAACTCCTCGAAAATGTCAGTTCCGGCATAGTCTTCAGAGACCTCTTTCCCCTCTCGTTCCACATCTCATCCGCCTGTCATTCCTCAAGATGTACAACCCCATTAGAGCATCAGTCCTCCATGAACCAAGACCCCAACTTTGTAATTTTCGACTTTATTTCCTCCTTGCGGGTATAAATAGCGTCGTAAATCTGTAGTGAATGATGGCCGGCGATGAATGAGGCAAGCTTCTGTTTGCAATTGGGGTGACGCCTTTATCTGTCGGCGAGGCGAGATGATATGTGTTTAGATCGGGGTTGAGGACTCAGAAGATAATGGTGAGTGCTGCATGGTTAAGAAGTCGTCAAATGGAGATATGCATGTGCTTGCTTTCGACTTCGATTCGGATGCGATTCTTCTTGGCTATCCCAGATATGCAGAGCATACTGAGCGATTACACCGGCACCACGGGAAGGTGTAGAATTCGTCTTTGCCGGCTAGTGGCTCGATTTGTTTGCCTTCACAAGACCAGCACCTCATGAAGGGGTCTTGGGCATAGCCTACAATTAGGTATCACGAAAAATGTTGCCCATATCGCTCCTCGATCCGTCAGAGAACTATGAACTAAAAAATATTAAAAAAAAACCTCAGAGATGTCTCGCTAATGAGATGATGCCAGACCCCTGCACGAGTTTAACGTGATATTGAACGCTGCGAACCCCATTTCTTAATTGATACACATACCATAATTTACATGACATGATTCACAAGGCCTAAATATGATACAGTTACTGTGTCTAACATTATGGAGTCTGCCTACAATCACGCAGTGGAAACCTTCCGTACTGAAGAGTACCCCATGCTTAAGGGTGATTATACATTTCCTCCGATTTGACCATAGCTGTTGATGCTTAAAACAGAATCTCTCTATCTTGATCATGCAGGAACGACGCTCTATTCAAAATCATTGATGGAAACCTTTATGAGGGAAATGGTGTCAAACTTGCATGGGAATCCTCATTCAGTGTCACCCTCCTCTCAGTTGTCATCCAAACGAATTGACAAGACACGGCATGAAGTACTAGAGTTTTTCAATGCAGATCCCAAAGAATTTGATGTTGTTTTTGTTTCCAATGCGACAGCAGGAATAAAATTGGTTATGGATTCGTTCCGAGGGCAAGATGCCAGTTTCAACTATGCCTACCATCTAGAATCACACACAAGTATTATCGGAGTCAGAGAAAATGCTCAAAAAAGTTATTGCTGGAATGATAGCGAAGTAGAGCTTTGGCTATCTGGTTCCAAAGTTCAGGGTACAATCCCCGACCTGAACCTATTCTCTTATCCAGCACAGTCAAATATGAGCGGGCGGCGTCTCCCCCTCTCTTGGTCTCATAAAGTCAGGTTATTAAGTGCGACCATGAGAATTCCTATATACACGCTGTTAGATGCATCATCTTTAGTTTCCACTGCACCACTAGACTTGAGCGATACTGCCAAAGCTCCGGACTTTACGGTACTCAGCTTCTACAAAATATTTGGATTCCCAGACCTCGGGGCCTTAATTGTGCGAAAAAGGTCGAATGTTATACTACGACAGCGAAAATACTTTGGGGGAGGTACAGTCGATGCTGTTATTAGCTTTGAAGAACCTTGGCACGCTCTCAAAGAAGGTCCTATCTATCAAAGTCTTGAAGATGGTACCTTGCCAATACATAGTATACTAGCACTTGAAGTCGCCATTCTGGATTATCATAGGTTGTATAGTTCTATGACGAGAGTTTCGCAGCACACCAATTTTCTTGCTCAAATACTATATCACGAGCTCTCCTCCCTAAGGCATGGAAATCTGCGTCCTTTATGTAAGCTCCACTCGCAAGGATTCCAGGCGGACCAAACCAATTTACAAGGACCTATAATAGCATTTAATCTGTTGAATAATGACAGTTCTTGGATCAGCAATAGTGGGTTTGAAAACCTCGCTGCAGTACGAGGAATTCATGTAAGAACTGGTAGCATCTGCAATCCAGGCGGCGTTGCTGCTTGTCTTGAGCTTGAGCCATGGGAAATCCGAAGAAACTATTTGGATGGATTCAGATGTAGTACTGGACCTGATATTTTTGCGGGCAAGGTTACTGGCGTCATTCGAGTAAGTCTAGGCGCTATGAGTACGATAGGAGATATTATGAAATTTATATCATTTGTAAGAGAATTTTTTGTTGACCCTGCTGTTAATATAGCCTCACCAAGTGCTCTTCACACTCCTTATACGACTGATCATGTCGTCGAGAGTCTTACCATTTACCCAATTAAAAGTTGTGGTGGCTTCGTCATTCCACCTGACGTAGATTGGGAGGTAAGGCCAGAAGGCCTAGCCTGGGATCGCGAATGGTTACTTGTTCATGAAGGGAGTGGCCAAGCTCTAAGCCAAAAACGGTATCCACAGATGGCATTAATACGTCCTCGGGTAGATTTTCAGAGTGAAGAATTAGTCATTAAATATGATGGTGACCACGCTCATGATATTCCTGAAATTCTCACTGTCTCTCTAACATTAGATCATAATCTTAACTACCCGAACAAGAAAATGAATACTTTTTCCTCTCGAGTCTGTGGGGATGCAATCCTTGCCAATGTTTATCAAGATACATATATTAATCGATTTTTCACTTGTATTCTTGGTGTACCTTGTCTATTGGCTAGATTTCCTGCCGGTGGTGCTGGACTGAGCTGTCGACAAAGCAAAGCCCATGTACAAAAACACCAGGCCCTATACAGCAATCGAAATTCTAATTTTTCTGGAGAAAATTCCGAAACTACAGGCAGCCATTTCAGTGCAACACAATCACTACCTATCCTACTTTCAAACGAAAGTCCTATTCTAATGATCAATCGAACTAGCCTTGACCATCTAAATAATAAGATCATCCAAAGCGGAGGGAAGCCAGCTTCAGCTTCAGTCTTTAGGGGAAACATTGTAATTGGACCCAAAAAAAGTCAGCATCAAAGACCTTATTCTGAAGATCATTGGACCTCTATAACGATAGGGCTACAGAGATATAAAATGCTAGGTTCTTGTCGCCGATGTAACATGATTTGTATCGATCAAAAGACTGCCGAGAAAAATGAGGAGCCAATGGTTACCCTAGCTAAAACCCGCACCTTCAACTCTAAAACTTTTTTTGGATGTCATATGTGTCATATGCCGCACACTTTTACGAATGATCGAGAACAAACCCCTATTATCCGGGTAGGGGATCCTGTTCAGATTAGCATTGAGCCTATCTAGCACTTGAGATCCTCGATAATATCACCAATTTAATCATCAAAGCTCATCGCCCGCCTCGTCTGGAAATTACAAATCAGTGTCTTTTCCTGGGTAGCACCTCCAACCTCCACGATCAACACAATTTTAACCGCTTTTACCTGCATCATCGTTACAATCTCGGCAAGATGCATGCTGTAGCAACTGATAAAAGGTCTTGAACTCGCTGCAACATTAACATTCTAATATTACAAGATATATAGTCTTTATAGGGCGTAGCTACTCAGGCATACATATATATTTATGGTTGTAATTGCTAGGCAACCTATGACCCTGTTGAAATTTGAGCACCAGTGGTACTAGGCTAGATCAGATTGATCTCTATTAAAATTAAAAATAATCTTGTCTCGCTTGAATGATTGTACTGCCCTAAACTCGACTTGTGTCGAGTTATATCAGGTTATGAAGTCAAGAGAATCCAATTTTTTACACTTTAGCACTGAATCTTCATCAGTCTCGACCTTTGAGAACTTCAGTCCTTGAAACTTCGTCAATTTTACATCTCTCTGTCCTTCTAAATCCCAAAGATGTACTAGCTTAGCACCTCTTCCTAGTGCTGTTGGGGTTTTCCGCTACTAGGACCTTTAACTATTCCGCAAGAATACAATCACCAAAGAAATTTGTCGCTCTATTATCTTCATACCTGGACCACTAATTGATTATAATAACTAGATAGGCTAAATACAATTCATTAAAAAACAGAGCACTAATCTTCCTGATAATTTTCCAACGACCATGTTTAATAGCCCAAGGTAAGATGAATAGGGAGATAAGATTCTGGCTTGGCTTTTCCTGAGTTATGTCAGTCATAGAGAGCTCAATAGTGTGATTGGCAGATAGACTGAGCTCGATAAATGAGCTACATATCGACAAGCGTGAGTTTGCTTCGATTTTGCTTGAGTTAGTGACATCTCAGCAGCTTGTTCTTTCTCTCAAAATATCTAATACCGCACTTTTAAGCTGAATATTTATCTAAATAAGCTGATCCCACTTAATTCCTGTTGTAAATCTGACTCTCGAATTTAGGACTCAACCAATATCTGTTTCGTCTCAGGTTCCCGACAAGATCGACTCTCTCTACACATGTCACGAGTGCGCTAATCGTGCCTACTGTTGCATATACGTTTGGATATTTACGTACTACAGTGTAACTTGGCTCATCATGGTAGATGAGAGGTGGCTGGTCATCACTAGGTTTGACAGGCACATGAGACCAGTGGGAATTTCTCCCCTAAGATGTATATATGAGTCCAATGTTCCCATAGTTGTAAAATATCAAGTCTTCTTTACTTCATCATATTTATCCATATAATATCGTACAGAGTATATTTTCCAACAATTCCGTTACTGACTCTGGATCTAGAGATAATAATTGACCCCCTATCTGGCAGACTACTATAAATTTAGTGTTTGAATTTGATTTCATTATCCTGATTTAGCGCCCTATGGGCCCATGTAGGTGTCTACAGTCTATAATATTTACCCGGGAGGAAACCTTTATGGTGAAAACCTTCCACACCTTTCTACTTGTTGTCTATAGTTCTCACATATTTTCTTCAGGAAGCGCAGTTACACTATAGTGCCATCCATGTAAACTAACCAGATCATCTCTATCCGCCCCAAGTATTAATTGACCTTTTCTTTTCCCTCAGCAGTATTTCGACCGCTTTTGTCATCTGGAATTGCTCTATCCAACCATGGTTTAGGATCAACTGTGTTATCCTTTTTATATCTCCAGGATTGTTTATCATCGCTTCGTAGGATCGATCTTTGACTTCTTTCCGGATCTCAGCTCTACCATTTGACCATCGGGGGTAGGACATAATCATATACTTGGAGTTCTGTGATTGGTAGCCGCATGGACAACCTGGACTTAATACTCCGGGTACTTTTCTTCTGTGTAAATACGAGTTAAGCCCCATGTGCTCACTTCGTATTTGTATTGCCAAACTGCTCTGGGCCCTTGTCAGGTTACGGTGTAGGAAGAATGGTGAGCCTTGAAAACTCAGTTTTTGCCGTCCAGACTCTCTACTTTGGTAAAATGTGGCTGCTCTCCAAGTTTCGGAATCTGCAGTTGATAACTGCCGAGGCTTCTGAGTTTATTTCTGTTTGGCCCAGAATTTCGCACACTCTTGGTATGCCATAACTTTCCCTATCTCTGAATGTGTCTTCTTGGTTTGTTGTTCACCTCACATTCCCGTCCAGTTGGCAAGATCTATCCTCCTGTTAACTGTTCGTGTATCTTCTCTCCCTTTTCTGGGCAGCTTGATCTTACCAGAGGCAGACTGGATTGTCTTCTGGAAAGATTGAAGCCTTTGTTGCTTCAAGAATATTCAGATCGGAAGGATGGCTGTTTCATGTTCCAGCACTCTCGTGCTCGTAGACTTGTATGCCCCGGTGACAATTTTGAGACAATTCCTCTGTATGCTTCTGAGAGGTCTCACTATCCTCTGTGGTATTTTTCCACCCGGCTAAATTTAGTGTTTGTTAGACGATAGAATAGTTGGGGCTATCAAGTAGGCCATGTTTTTGACATAGACTTGACTATATAATCTGCACTTAGTTTCACTTCGGTTGTTACTTAAATGAATGCGCTCTACAACCTCAATGACCGAGAGGTCAGTATTTCCTTAATAATTTTTGCTATGCAACTAGAATCAATAAATATCTGGAACATTTGTCTCATCTCTGGCCAAGGCCATAACTTGTATTGTGCTCCTATCCTCTTATATTACTTGAAAGATCTTTGATATATTACTCGTGATGGATGGCCTTTCCTCCGCCAACAGAAGTGAGTTTATGACGAATAGAACTTCAACCGGACCATCTGGTCCGATCGTGATTAGCTTCATGATTATGGTAATTGGGAGTCGTGCTGAGAGATGGAGACGATACAGACCAAGAATGCGATTGGGAGTCCTCATCGAAGTAAGGACTTTGTTACTCAACCTCAGCTCTGTAGGCCCTAAAGTGAGAGCTAGAGATTCTTCGAAGACACCACTGATAAATGCTGAGATTCGTTCCCCTTGCTCTGTGTTTAAGTACTCGACACGAACTAAATGTGGTCATTTACATATAAATCAGAAAATATTATGTCGAGATTGTGCCCGCCTGAATTTTTGCTTGTTTATTTATTTGTATATTAACGTGCTAGGGAATCGGTACTTTCTGTATTCCTTTGGGAGCTTGAGCTTGATAAGGTCAAATATCGTGAAGTCCGTAGGCCTTGTCTCATCCTGGACTTCATCTCTGATTTGAATCATACCAAGTCTGGCCATCCAGAAATCCCGATCTCGATGCGCCAAAACGCAAATTCCAACTCACACTCGGTCGCCACGTGCTCAAGTCCTTTACATCCTCATATTGTCTAATATTCCATCACGTTCAGTCCTAGTCATTTCTTATCCTAGCATCCTAGCATCTCCTAATCTCACTCTGGGATCTTTTTCTTTACTAGAGACCTTATTAAGGTACCTACTGAAGCACTCTCAGGTTTTCTTCAAATTTCATCCTACTCTGTGGGTCTCGGGGAGTGTAGTTATTATTTTCCCGCAGAGTATGAGCATGTAAGTGAGATGAGAATCGAGTTCGTCTACAGGATGAAATACAATGATAATACTACTGAAAAGATGTTGCGTAACGAAGGCACATCAACTATAGACTACACCTAATTATGTATGATATCAGTTCACCACTACACGACCGCTCCCTACTTAGAATTGAAGGATTAGTGCAAAACTTGAGAGAAAACTATATCCTATTAATAGAAAGTGATGGAAGTAGGTTATTTATAATATCTAACGTCGTAACCGCGCACAGCACGTGAGCTTTTCACTTACAGGAAGTAGTTTATGCTAATTATAACCCATGTGCGCGCATTAGTATATCTACTAGCTGCACGGTTCGGTCACAGCCACTTCGCGGACTACCACCGACGGTTTCAGCATGAAAACGCCATTCTAACCTGGACATGCGGAGAAGAGAAGTCCCCCAACCACTTTTTCTATTGCCACCTAGGGCAATACCAAGCTCAGCTCCACAGGGCACAAAATTCTAATCCCAGCGTATCTTGGGCTCTTGCTTCGGCGGAGGGAGTTGATGCATTGAATAACTGTGTGCCTATCATAGATTTCTTCGAAAGGGCACAACGAAAAGTCTGATTCGAACGAAATCAAGATCTGATGTAAACAATCTTCTTCTTTTATTTTATTTTTTGTAAAATCTTTTCTTGATTTAGTACCAACTGCATAGCATGAGATTCGTTGGACGGACGACCTTCATATATACTCTATTCTTCGAGCGCAGGATGATAAGATCCTGGCTATCATTTGCTCTGTTGGGTCTGTGTAGGCGCCAACACGTCGGGTACTTTAATTTAGACTGGCCTAACCGGTACATGAGAAGCTCACGTGCTGTGCGCGGGCATGACGTTAAATATTGTAAATAAATAAATATAACCCATGTGCGTTTCCCGGATCTCTCAGAGGATAATATCACTCCCCTTTGGAAAATTGGACTTAATGAATGTTTATAAAACAGAAGCGCTGTTGGTCGAACAGCAGGAGTCGATTCCTTCACCAATGTCACGGTGGCTCACGGGTCAGGTTGTTTGATAGGCTGTGCCTCGATATCTGATCAGATAACAACGTACGTTCGGATAAAGATGTTCTTAAACTACAATAGTGATACATCTATGATAAAATTTCACGAGGCTGACTATTCAGACTTGTACCCTTAAATTGTGCGAAGACCTTATCACAATGTTACTTCCACACGAAATACTAAAACTACATAGTCGTCGAAGAGTAAGCTGTGTAATGACAAACAACACAGGTACTAAAGGAAAGAGAATATAACTGTGTTGTGCGGTGGTAAAAGAAGAGAAGTTTAAATACAAGAGATATCTATACATATGTTCTAGTCTATGACGCTAGCCCTTAGTCCCGTGACAACCCAATGGTATG